GATAATGATGATGATTGGTTGTCAATTTGCTTACTTAAATTTGATTTACGTTGATAAAATATTACCAATTTTTTTATGTGAACGAGCTAACGGGCTACCTGATGGTAAGCAATCAGCGTCGCCCATGGACACCCGCAACGACGGAGGAGTAACGAGTGCGTTGTCGACCTTTTGGGGATTAGGGATTTGGAGATATATGGCAAGGGAACGGATTGGGGTAGGGGAAGTATTGGGCCTCCGGTAACCTCACTCACACGGCGAAACACAACTCTTTGGTTATTTCACGCCGGTTTTCTGTGAGGCCGTGGTATAACTCCGGTCGAGCCAACCCATTCATGCCGAAGCATGACTCTCTCACACTATAAACAATTTTGGACATTATTTAACAAAGTTCACATCGTTAACTAGAATTTATTACCATTAATTAACCGAACTCATTCTTTGGTTTTTATCTCATTTATAAGTATGATAATTTCCAAATTAGAAGTAAATTTTGGCATTGTTTATGGAGGTAAATGACGGAAATTTCTTTAGAAAGAGAAAAAAGGGAGTGTTGTGTGTAGAACATAGAAAAAAGGCTCTGAAAAAAAAAATGTTTGACTTACTATTTAATTAGTCGTATAAAACGGTACGAGAAGAGAAGCTTAATCCTTGATAATATTAAAGCATTAAGGGAGTTAAACGCTATACAAAAATTAATGACAAGGAGTCCGTAAAAGTTACTTTAGCTAGCTAAAAATAAATTAAACAGACTTTTAAATGTGTTTAAAATAAAATCAAATGCATGAAATTGTTTTTATACTTGTTGGTTTTTCTACCTTCCCAATTGGAGGAAGGAGTTTTCATTTTTTTTACTTGCTAGAAACTAGTGCTTGACTGCGATCCCACCTGATGGTAAGCAGTGATGCAATCGTTGATGGTAAGGCGCACTATTTTATTAAGAGCCTATTCACTCTAGCTTTGAAGACACAGAGAGCGTTACATTATGACATTTTTTCTTTCTATCAACAAATGTAAAATCAACAAATCTAGGTACTGGGCTCCCCTACTACACAGGTTCTAAGAAATATAATTCTCAGAATAAGTTCTAACAGAATCAGTTTCTCAGAATAAGTTTCTTAACCAGTTTATTCAATAGTTTAGTAGTCGGAAGTTTTACCTGTTAACACATAAATTCAGTCGGTCTGTCTGTCACAAGATGCGATATAGTGGCCCCTTGCCAACTCCTCAGTTTCCGCGAACAGCTATTTTATTCTATCGGTCGAATGCATGCTTTTCTTAGTACCCTATCCATTATATCGAAAGAAGTTCTTGTTAATTGAGTTCGGATTTTTGTGTTGAGATTGATGGAATAATTGTCAAGTGTGACTGGCTGTTAAAATGTCTTCGTAATTTATTAAGTATCTACTACAAATTATGAAGAATTTTTTTTTATTGAAGTTTCTCAAATACATTGCTGATTTAGTTGGAAGTCACAACAAACGATAACCGTTAGGCTTTTCTCAAAAGTGTAGACAAAAGTTCAGATTTCATGTATGATGATTGATCCATGCTTACCCATGTTTGAGACACTAGCTCGTATTGTCCAATGTATGAAACAAACATATGTTTTTGTGTTTCTTTTGTCACCTTTTCTTTACTATTAAAAGAAGTCCAGTAAACTGATAGTAGACCTTGTAGTCGGCAGAGAGAGAGAGAGCAAGTGGTCTTGATCAGGAAAAGGAGCGGGGAAGTTTCGGGAAGAGGACCATATACTAATATACTCAAAGATTTATCGCAGACCCGGTCTCGATCAAGAGAAGAAACGAGGTAGTTTTCAAAGAAAAAGAGTCAGTAAGAGTATAAGAATTATGGTCCTCCATACGAAGGGAGAAATCATAAATTTTCTCTCTTTAAATAATTCTGCAATAATCATAGCGCCATGCAAAAAAATTAATTAACAGCTGCATGTAATTTTCTTATGGAACTCAAAACTTGAAATTTGTGTCTATCCAATCACTGATTTAACTATGAAAATTGTAAAGATTTAAAATCTGAGACACAATGGTTTTTTGAGTTTTATAAATTATGAAAAGTCCCATCCTGAGTGAGGGCAGAGGGAGTGTAAGACTCTTATTGACTAAAACACCAGCACGTCTTTCTTCTTCTGCTTCGGCCTGTAAATTATTTCCTTCTCTTACTCCGGGCCGGAACAACGATAAAGTAAAGTAAATCATTGTGCAAAACTCAGACACATGCAAAATTGAAGTTCGTTCAACACTAAAATAAAATGCAATAAAACTTACGCAAGCGACAATCCGTTTTAACAACCCACTGGACTAGAAAGTTGTCTAAACAATTTTATTAATAAATTTTGTTTTACACGCGTTTTGGGTTTTTTTGCCCGACACTGGTGTATTGTCCTTGTGATATAAAAATAATGTTTTATTGAGAACTGCGTTGAGATTGTATCTTCATTAGTGCTAATGAAATTAGTCAATGTACTTATTGTACTTCTCCAACTAATATTATAAACGCGAAAGTTTCTAGGTTTGTCAGTATGGGATGACACTGACCTGCTTTTGCTGTACCTTTACAATAGTTCACTATTGTTCTTTAGACTTAAACTTACTTAAACTACTAAAACTTGTAAATATACATATTTTTGATTCACAATGACTTTACTACTTCATTAGCAATTTATAACAACATTTCAAAACTGTTATTCATTTTAATACACTGTTCTAAATTGCTACTCCAATGAAATGAAAGATCAAAGAAAAACTAATTCAACACGTAGCCAATATCAATCAATCTTATTATTCAACAGATATTTTTAATGTAATACCTACATTATAATGTATAAAAGATCAGATATACATTTTTAACTTATTTTATTTTTCTCTTTGAAAATTGTTATATAGCTTTCTTTTTTATAAAACGTAGTCCTAAATTAGCATTTTCTTTTTTATTGAATGCGTTTTAAAACATACAATTTTACATATAGGTAAATAACACTAAAATTGGAAGTACAATTTGTAGATTACACAGAGTTATTTAATTCAAGAAGTCCCAATCCTTCACCTTTAACCTTTGATTCGTAGTCGATGACTTACGATCACTTGATCTGTCTTGTTTTTGCCCTACCCCATAAAAAAGGGTTTTCATTAAAAGATAGTGTGATTCCTAAGAAAGATTTATGAATAATGTGTATTATCACATCATCAGTCTAAAAACGTCCACTACCGAGGAAAATAATGCTCACACCCAAGATAATGCTCCTACGCATTGAAAATGACGTTTGCTCAAAGCTGATTGGTGATTTTTTACTTATAATTAGGTATTATAAGTCTAGGTTTCCTCATGATTTATCCTTCACCGTACATCTGTAGTGTCTTAATTATCATAGAAAGTACATATAATTCAGCAAAAGTTCCATTGGTATATATTGTTATACAGGGTGTAAGGGACAGCCTTCCGCAAACTGATAGGGTGGATTCAGTATATCGTCTTAAGTTGACCGGTACATGAAATTATTTCAGGAACGTTATGGGAATCCAATTAAACCGATTTGTTTCATTACCTTACACGCAATGTATCGCTACCACCGCAAACGCACGCAGCGAACGGCAGCGCTTTTAGTATTATTACTTTACACTATGGGCAGCGCCGCGACCTTACCTTCAGATTCAGACAAACGGTCGCGCTCGCGCCACGTTTTAATAACAATAAATTATTATTTAAAAGATAGCCGCATAAATACGTAAGTATTAATATATGATGTCGTGGTGGCCCGGAGGTTAAGGAGGCCGCTTCTCATGCATGAGAGTGTGGGTTCGAAACCTAGCAAGTACCAATGTGACTTTTTCCGAGTTATATGTACTTTCTACGATTATTTAGACACCACTGATATGCGGTGAAGGTAACCTGGACCTGGACCTGGACTTATAATATCTAATTTCAAGTTTTAAATCGCCAACCCGCATTGAGCAAGCGTGGTGATCAAATACTCTAACCTTCCGTATGAGAAGAGGCCTTTGCTCAGCAGTGGGCACTTATAGGCTGGTGATGATGATGATTAATATATGAATTTAGTGTGATCCATAAGATGATTTTATTTAAATCAAGATGTCCACTAGTTACAATATGGGTGAATATACAAAAATTGGGTAACTCAATGTCATCAGTCAATATATGCAAAGTCTTATTATATTTTATTGAGATTACAATTTATTTTAAAACAATGAAAGGTCCTTTATTTGGTCACCCAATCACAGCTCTTCATTTTAAATACAAGTTAATAAAAAACCACATTAAATGCTTAAAACGTCAGTCCTTTGGCATGTCACAATCCCGAAAACCAACAATCAAGTGACTATCTATTAAACATTATCATTGATTTGAGAAAACTTACTAATCTACTACAATCTGTGATTTACATAGTAATATATACTACAACTTTCATAATGCAATGTTCTCCACATTATTTAAAAAAAATTAAGAAACTTTGTGTTTGTTTTATTCGTCAGTCCACTGTGCGTTGTTTAAAATTGAAATTCGCGCCAAATTATCACCGACTCAAAGTCAAATCGCTGTTTGAATTTTAATGTTGGTAATGAAGTTAGTTGCGGATTGCACAATTTGATGGCCGCCATAACTGTACCAGTGCTTGGGTTGTATTTGTCGTCTATACACGTGCTGAGCCAGTCAAAATTTCAGTCCTGTGGTGAGTCGTTATTTTCTAGTTAATCTCAGGTTTATTTTCATTTATACAAAGTTAACTATGATTTGTTAAAATGTAGTTTGTTGATGCTCGAAATTACCAAAAAAAACATTAGTTCTGATTATAACCTCAAAATTATGCCTTTTTCATCAGTCCGTTGGCGTCAGTCCTTTGTCAGTCATCGCGCCAGAGGACTGACGTGTTTCCATGGTACTGATGTTTTTTTTAATTTTGGAGCACTTTTATCTTAATTGCTACCGTGTATAAGCATTTCTATTTTATATTTCAGTTCATAAACATGCGGCACGCTAAAAGCAAATTGACTAGGGAAGAAATACTAAAAAAAAAGAGAGAAGCCGAAAAGGCTCGCTTAGCCAGAATTAAAAGCGACCCCATTAAATTAGCGGAATACAAAGAAAAACAAAAGCTTCAGTACTTAAAGAAAAAAGAGAAAGGACAAAGAAAAAATGTTGAAGAAATGACACCACGAGAGCAACGAATAACTAGAAAAAAATGGAAAAATTATTCATCAAACTACAGGCAAAGAAAACGGCAATTGAAACAAACCACTAATAATTTTATACGCCAGAATAGTCCTCCACTAACTGACGACGAAATACAACCCATAATTAATGAAGAAATCAGACCTGTTATGAACGAAGACCAAAGAGCAAAAGAAGCTAAAAAGAGAAGTGAAAGACAGAGAAAATCTAGAAACAAGGAAATAAAAAAGATGAAGGCTATAGTTTCAAAGCTTAAAACTAAACTAAATACTCAGCGTCAAAAGTATAAACGAGTCAAAAAGCAGCTAAAAAAAGTAATAAAATCTGTTGAAAAAACGCCAAAGACCAGAATTGAAGACATGAGTGAAGATATAACTAAAAAGAAAGAATTAGTGAAGAAGGCCCTTTTTGGGGAAGTTATTAAAACACAATTGGAAGAAAACTACACTAAACTAAAGACTCATGAAGAAAGAAAGAAATTTAAACAAGTTATATCTGGAAATTTAGTAGACAAATACAAACTATGGAGAATAAAAAACAAAGCAGTCACCTACAAAAAAACTGGACATAATCTGACAAATAAAAAAATAAATAAAAGCAAAACTATAATACAAGGATTAGTGCAGAAATTTTTCGAAGATGATTCTAACAGCCGTCAAGCTGCAGGAAAGAAAGAATTTGTATCTCGTAAACAAGTCAAAAAACAGAAGAGATATTTACTTGATACAATGAAAAACCTTCATAAGAAATTTTTAAAAACCACTCCATGTGTAATCAGCTATTCCTTATTTACCCGACTTCGACCATTTTGGGTGGTACCCCCTACATTGTCAAACCGTGAAACTTGTAGTTGCACGATTCACGAAAACATGAACCTTCAACTTGCTGCTCTAAAGAAGGCAAATATAACAACAGTGAGTAATCATCAAAATATGTTGGAACTGCTTTGTTGTGATCGATATTCTGAAAGATGTCTAGAGAGAACATGTGATAACTGTTGCTCAAAAACTCTGACTTATACTGAATTCGATAACTCAAAACCAATATTAATAAAACAGTGGGTGAGTAAGAAAGAGTCAATAACAGATCTGAAAACGAAGAAACAACGATTTGTGATGAAATGTAAAATAGAAACACAGGAAATGTCACCTAGAAATGCCATTACAAAACTAGAAAATGATATGGTTAAATTTTTCCGGCATTCTTTTAACATATTACATCAGTACAATGCCATTAAGCAATTGAAAGAGTCTTTATCTGAAACCGATGTCATTGTACATATGGATTTTTCCGAAAATTTTTGTACTAAATACAACCAAGAAATTCAATCCTTCCATTTCGGCGGTTCGAGAACCCAAATTTCATTACATACTGTTGTCGTTTATCTAAAAAACTCCGTTATTTCACACTGCACTATCTCGACTAATTTGTCTCACAACGCTGGAGCAATTTGGGCTCATCTAAAACCTGTGCTGGCATCACTACCATCAAATATTGAAAACATTCACTTTCTCAGCGACGGTCCTGTAACGCAATACAGGAACAAATCTATGTTTTATGTATTAGGCTGTAAACTGCAAGACATTCTCCCTAATATTATAAATTATACCTGGAACTTTCATGAAGCTGGACATGGGAAGGGGGCACCCGATGGTGTAGGGGCCACTTGTAAACGAACAGCAGACCAAGTGATTGCTACAGGAGGAGATATAACTAACCTGAATGAGTTCGCTACTGTCATTCGTGAAAGATGCCCAGGTATAAAAATTGATGTGATCGAAGAGTGTCAAATTGAGAAGATGAACACCATCATTAATGATAAGTCGTCCGAAATGGTCGCTTTTAAGGGAACACTATTGGTGCATCAGGTGACTGGCACAGCTTATATTCCCAACAATCTTACAATGAAGTCACTAAGTTGTTTTTGTCATACCGATGGATGTAATCATTACAAGTTAGGATCTATTAGTTATCAGACAGAAATAAGTGCTATAAATAGTACACGTATAAATACTTCTACCGTATTCTCAGACTCTGAAGATGATGTACCACTATCTACATATGTTAAAGACAATGATGATCGCTCTAAATTGGATAGAGATCTATCGGCACCAGGAACTAGCGGTTATTCGCACCATCAAAGTCGTTATAGTAGTGGTGATTATGTTTTGGTCAAATATATCACAAAGAAAACAGAATATCATTATGCAGCGGTCTGCTCTTCGGTTGATGATGAAGACGGTGAAGTAAGAGTAACTTTTCTTAAAATTTGTGACCAGAATGGCACTCTGTTTAAATTGGATGAAAGAGATGTGTCAGATGTTCCCATGGATCAAGTAATAAAAAAACTACCCGTACCAAACCTCATTACTAAAGGGAAGAGAGTTTATTACCAATTTCAGGAAAAAATTGATGTTTTCGAAAAATAATTTCTTATTTTTGCACTATTTTGATCCTTTATTTTTCTTTTTTTTTTGTGGAGAAAAAGATCTCATATTATTTTAATTATTACTAACTTTTTTGATGCTTTTAAGGCATAGCCTATTATATTTACTTGATTTATTAGAAAATACGTACTTTTAAGTAAAATTACCTCAAAATAATATTAAAGTTAAGTAATATAACATTATAAAAATCTCAAAAGGCTGTTATGAAGACTGGTATAGTTGACTTTCATAGTATTATATTGTTATTGTTCTTAATTTCATGATAATAGTACTTTTAAGATAAATATTGTTAGATTTTTGTTTCTATTGATTGTTGATTACTTAGAAATGTTAAGTAAAACTAAGTCAAAGTAGTAAAAGTTAAGTGAATAACGTTATGTTAAATGTCAAAAGGCTGTTTTGAAAACTAAGATAGTATTTTCTCTCAGTATTGCATATTAATAATTATTTTTAATTGTTACTAAGTGATTTTAATACTTAAAAGACATGTGCCATTATTAAATCTTAAGAGATTTGTACCAATTTTTATTAAATTTGATTATAATTCTTACAAAATGGTGTATTTTGTCAGTACTATGTTACCCTCGTCAGTCCCCTGGCAGTCAAATTCTGAAAATTTGAAATATCTCACAATCTACTTAAAAAAGTGACTGGCCCGATGTGGAACAATATATTCATTAGATTAGCCATCTTATACACCCGAATTTGTAGAAATTTGATTTAATAACTATAGTAAACAAAATATCCTCAAGAGTTACCCAACTTTTGTATAATCACCCATATACAGATAGGAGGAAGGAACGGAATGGTTGTTAGTCAGTAAAAGATTGCATTTGAAGTTTTCTCTCTCAAGAAAGCTAGTATGTCTATAGATTATGCGTGTTTATTAATTATACGAAGTGTGTAAAATGGGTACCGTCGATTTCTAGCCATTATTACTGTTAACAGAAAAAAAGAAGGAGTAGTTTTATTGAAAATATGAATTACTCTCGTAAATTAACTAATTTACAAGTCACTATCGGACTCTTATTCGTGAGCGACGTGTGTGTTGCGGCGACGTCACGGCACTGACTGATCAGTCGGCTATCTCACGACACTAACCACAGAGTGTGATAAGCAGTGTTCTTTAAAAAACTAGATCCTTTTAAACTGGGATTGATAATCCGTCTGTCAAGCATAAGGTTAATGGGAAATCCTTTTTTTTTTTTTTGTAGAGGAGGCCAATTTTCTGTCAAGAGCCGATGAAGATAATGATGATGATTGGTTGTCAATTTGCTTACTTAAATTTGATTTACGTTGATAAAATATTACCAATTTTTTTATGTGAACGAGCTAACGGGCTACCTGATGGTAAGCAATCAGCGTCGCCCATGGACACCCGCAACGACGGAGGAGTAACGAGTGCGTTGTCGACCTTTTGGGGATTAGGGATTTGGAGATATATGGCAAGGGAACGGATTGGGGTAGGGGAAGTATTGGGCCTCCGGTAACCTCACTCACACGGCGAAACACAACTCTTTGGTTATTTCACGCCGGTTTTCTGTGAGGCCGTGGTATAACTCCGGTCGAGCCAACCCATTCATGCCGAAGCATGACTCTCTCACACTATAAACAATTTTGGACATTATTTAACAAAGTTCACATCGTTAACTAGAATTTATTACCATTAATGAACCGGAGTCATTCTTTGGTTTTTATCTCATTTATAAGTATAATAATTTCCAAACTAGAAGTAAATTTTGGTATTGTTTATGGAGGTAAATGACGGAAATTTCTTTAGAATGAGAAAAAAGGGAGTGTTGTGTGTAGAGCATAGAAAAAAGGTTCTAAAAAAAATATTATTTGACTTACTATTTAATTAGTCGTATAAAACGGTACGAGAAGAGAAGCTCAATCCTTGAGAATATTAAAGCATTAAGGGAGTTAATAGCTACCTACAAAAACTTATGACAAGGAGTCCGTAAAAGTTACTTTAGCTAGCTAAAAATAAATTAAACAGACTTTTAAATGTGTTTAAAATAAAATAAAACACATGAAATTGTTTTTATACTTGTTGGTTTTTCTACCTTCTCAATTGGAGGAAGGAGTTTTCATTTTTTTTACTTACTATAAACTAGGGCTTGACTGCGATCCCACCGGTAAACAGTGATGCAATCGTTGATGGTAAGGCGCACTATTTTATTAAGAGCCTATTCACTCTAGCCTTGAAGACACCTAAAGAGGGTTACATTATGATTTTTTTTCATTCTATCAACAAATTTTCACAATTCTTAATCCTTCATAATAGTAACAGTATAAGTCGCTTTAATAACTACTAGGTACTGGGCTCCCCTACTACACAGGTTCTAAGAAATATAATTCTCAGAATAAGTTTATTCTCAACCAGTTTATTCAATAGTTTAGTAGTCGGAAGTTTTACCTGTTAACACATAAATTCAGTCGGTCTGTCTGTCACAAGATACGATATAGTGGCTTCTTGCCAACTCCTCAGTTTCCGCGAACAGCTATTTTATTCTATCGGTCGAATGCATGCTTTTCTTAGTACCCTATCCATTATATCGAAAGAAATTCTTGTTAATTGAGTTCGGATTTTTGTGTTGAGATTGATGGAGTAATTGTCAAGTGTGACTGGCTGTTAAATTTGTCTTCGTAATTTATTAAGTATCTACTACAAATTATGAAGAATTTTTTTTTATTGAAGTTTCTCAAATACATTGCTGATTTAGTTGGAAGTCACAACAAACGATAACCGTTAGGCTTTTCTCAAAAGTGTAGACAAAAGTTCAGATTTCATGTATGATGATTGATCCATGCTTACCCATGTTTGAGACACTAGCTCGTATTGTCCAATGTATGAAACAAACATATGTTTTTGTGTTTCTTTTGTCACCTTTTCTTTACTATTAAAAGAAGTCCAGTAAACTGATAGTAGACCCTGTAGTCGGCAGAGAGAGAGAGAGCAAGTGGTCTTGATCAGGAAAAGGAGCGGGGAAGTTTCGGGAAGAGGACCATATACTAATATACTCAAAGATTTATCGCAGACCCGGTCTTGATCAAGAGAAGAAACGAGGTAGTTTTCAAAGAAAAAGAGTCAGTAAGAGTATAAGAATTATGGTCCTCCATACGGAGGGAGAGATCATAAATTTTCTCTCTTTAAATAATTCTGAAATAATCATAGTGCCATGCAAAAAAATTAATTAACAGCTGCATGTAATTTTCTATCCAATCACTGATTTAAAGATGAAAATTGTAAAGATTTAAAATCTGAGACACAATGGTTTTTTGAGTTAAATAAATTATGAAAAGTCCCATCCTGAGTGAGGGCAGATGGAGTGTAAGATTCTTATTGACTAAAACACCAGCACGTCTTTCTTCTTCTGCTTCGGCCTGTAAATTATTTCCTTCTCTTACTCCGAGCCGGAACAACGATAAATTAAAGTAAATCATTGTGCAAAACTCAGAAACATGCAAAATTGATGTTCTTTCGACACTAAAATAAAATGCAATAAAACTTACGCAAGCGACAATCCGTTTTAACAACCCACTGGACTAGAAAGTTGTCTAAACAATTTTAATAATTTGATTAATAAATTTTGTTTTACAAGCGTTTTGGATTTTTTTCACGATACCTACTCGTATATCGTCCTTGTAATATAAAAATAATGTTTTATTGAGAACTAGGTTGAGATTGATTGTATCTTCTTTAATACAAATAAAATTTATCAATACACTTATTACACTTCTCCAACTAATATTGGAAACGCGAAAGTTTGTAGGTTTGTCAGTATGGAATGACAAACCTACAAACTTTATAATTCTGATATAAGAAGTATCTTATTTGGTAACTTCGGTCGATTGTTGCTGAAATACCTGATGATTAACGAATTAATTAAATAAACTGTTTTGTAAATTGTTTAAGTATATTGGTTTTTTATGTTACCTATACTATTTCTAAGTGTGGGAGAGCCATGCTTCGGCACGAATGGGTCGGCTCGACCGGAGTGATATCACGGCCTCAAAAATCTCAAAAACCGGCGTGAAACAATCATAACGTTGTGTTTCGGCGTGTGAGTGAGGTTACCGGAGGCCCAATCCTCCCCCTCCCCCAATCCCTTCTCATTGCCAGAATTTCCAAATCCCTAATCCCCAAGAGGACGGCAACGCACTCGTAACTCCTCAGACGTTGCGGGTGTCCATTGGCGGCGCTGATTGCTAATCATTAAGTAATCTGTATGCTAATTTGCCGACCTATCACATAAAAAAATACGCTGACAAACGAGCATTATGGATTACCTGATGGTAAGCAATTGGCGCGCATGGACACTAGCAAGACAACAGGAGTTGAAAGTGTGTTGCCGGGATTATGGGGATAATTAGTGTGGCCACTATTGAGTAAAGGCACTCTTACACGGAGAAGGATTCAGAATAATTTACCACGGTTCCTCAAGGCTTACTAGTTACAATTTTATACTTATAATAAGAAATCGTTTTACTATTAATAGGCTAAACATGTCAGTATAGTTAGTATATACTTTTTAACAAATAATTGTTTATGAAGAACTAATGATGACGATGATGTTAATGATCATGTAAGTTGGATCGTCTTTGTCAGTTAATCTGTCTAAAGAACAACAGTTCAAATAATATTTCTGATTCACAATGACTACTACTTCATTAGCAATTTATAACAACATTTCAAAACTGTTATTCATTTTAAAACACTGTTCTAAATTGCTACTCCAATGAAATGAAAGATCAAAGAAAAACTAGTTCAACACGAAGCCAATATCAATCAATCT